ACTATTTTAGTGAGTTCTCTATTATATCATCGATTAAAAATAATATTTTTGGTAATTTTAAAAATAATATTTTTATCACACTTCCCAATTCATTTTTGCTACTTTCTCTTATAAACAATATTTTCTCCTACCATTTTTTTTCCTTCACCTCTAAATTTCCCTTCCCCTCTTTTACAATAGAGTGTAAGAGTATTCACCGAAAAAATATGGTATAAGAGAACCAATTGAAAGTATCATCTTATTTTCACAAATTTGTGCATAAAAATTAGAGATTATCAAAAGATTATGATCAATAAAATGACTTGCTAGACTAAATTTGGTAAAACCAACAAAATCTATCGATTGATACTTTTTTTGTTTTTGAAAGGTGCTTGATACCTTAAACACCAAAAATTCCATTGCATTCAACGAAAAAAAAATTCCATTGCAGTATGCAGCGACCAGTACATGAATATGAGTACTATTTTCTTTTGTTCTGATGGGACTTGGGAGTATATGAATGAATTCCATTAACGTCAAAACAAAAGTTTGCGCTTCCCAAAAAACCACATAATTAATAATACATTTTCTTGACCAAATCCTCATTTGGCTCCTTGTATTATCCGGTTAATAGCTAGCTACCTACCTAGCTGGTACTCTGTACTAATAATAATATTTCAATTTATTTATGTTCATTGATAATAAATAAAATAAGGCATCTAGACCTGGCAATCGGGTTAGGTGACCTCGAGTTACAGGTTATAGCAATTCAGGTAATTTCGGGTTAGTTTATATCTGTCAAATCTTGATCCAACCCAAAATTTTTGGATCGAGTCTTCAATATTTTCGAGTTATGAGGGTTGGCAAAATCAAAAACGAAAGTAATAAATTTTTGGTTGAAAATAGCAATTCTCAAATATGTATGATAATATTTTATCAAATGCATTTCAATGAACAAACATTATCAAATGCATTTCACTGAACAAATTTTTGAATTCTCATAGATTAATGAACAGAAAAGTAAATAGCACAAAGAAACCCCCGCTTGTTTGATAAATTCCTAGCAAAAACATGATATCCAAATCAACCATCCATATATACTAAAATAAACAAATAGAAAAAAATATACATGTAATATTTTTTTCTTTGAAGTGAGGAGTTCGATATTGGAATACTATCCGGCTAGTCCGTTCGTTTACCTAATTAATTGTTACATTTATTTATTCAATTATATTTTGATTTAAAATAAAAAAATCTTACCACTAATAATAAATCATCATAATTCATATCCATTTTGGTTTTTGATTGGAGTCTTTATATTGGCGGCTTGTGCGGGGAAGGATTAAAGTTTTGGATGGACGGGAGGGAGCAGTGGACCTGCTGGCTAAGGGTGTACATAGTCGGGTGGTATGAGTTTAGTCATTTTAGTCATTTGATTCATGCACTATGATTTAGAAAATATTAAATCCAAATCCACTTAAAAAATTTAAAAACCTACGGTTTGTTTTAATCGGGTTGAGTCGGGTTTGCGATATTTTTAAATAAAAACCAAACCCAACACAAAATATGTAATTCTCCTACGCCATAAAAATATTTTATAACTAATTAAAATTTCAAACGGAACAAACCGAGGTGAAAGGTATCAAAATTCACAAATGTTGTTTGAATTTTAATAAAATGTTATTTACTTCAACATATGTCTAGTTTTTTTCACGACATTTTTTGAAATAGGCTAAAAAAGTTATAAACGAACGCATCCATAATATGTTATTCTATTAAAATTGTACACAATAAAAAGGATTACATGAATCATAACTATATTAACTTTATGTCTAAACTTTAAGTCGAAAAATGCATTAGATTATGGATATTATGAGAGAAAAACATGGCAAAGTATATTAATTTTCTTATAAGTATGGCTATATACGACATAAATATATTTTTGGATATGAACTCATACCAATAGTTGGAACACGGGTTGGGTCGGGTTCTACGGGTTGTGTAATCCAAAATCCAAACCCAATCCAAAAGAGGAGGGTTATACAAAAAAAAACCCTCTCTCAACCCAAAACCTTCGTTTTAGCGATAAATACGAGTGAATTGGGTCGGGTTGGACGGGTGGGTCGGTTTTCGGGTGTGTTTGTTCACCCCTACTGCTGGCTATCACACCCCGACCCTTACCCGTTAAAAAAAGTGCAAGTCATACGATTTCGAGTCATTCAAGTTTCAGGTGATAAAAATGTCAAACCGATTCAAATTTTGCAAGCAATTTCAGGTCCGATGAACGGGTCGGTCCTAATTTTCAGGTCTTTTTGTGTAAAATATACTAAATTTTATAATCAATAGTCTAATTATCCGAATAATTTCTAAATGGTTTCCATATTTAATTTTATATAGCGAAACAATTAAATGCAGTTTCGATCGAAAATCATTTTAGTGTTGATTTCTTCACTCTACCTAGATAATTCGGTTATTATTTTCATGTAGCTAGTAATAATCAATTAGGAGAACATTTCAATGTAAATTTTTATATATTGACACAATTTTTTATCAATAATTAAATGTACTCCATGAATGAAATAAATCCAATAATTGGTCAGATGATAGTTTGATCACATGTTTCACAAATTCAGTTATGTCATCAAAGGCTCGTTCAGCTTTAACTAGAATGAGTTTCATCTATAAATCGTCCCTTGTTCACCATGATTAATATTGCGAAGACTCTTTGGAAGAATTTTTTTTTACATTTGCCCGTTGGGAACCAATTCGACCATTGGAAGTTGATCTTCACTTATATAAAACACATCAAAATACACTTAATTTTTTGGGTTAATATTTTTGCCTGCTCGAGCTTTATCGTTTTTTAAAATTTGACCAATCTTTTCGCTATATAACATCATGGTCTAAACTATCGTTAAAAATTACTTATTTGGCTCGAGCCGATTGTTGACCTTTTATTTGACGGTCAAAGTCGTTGACACCGCCTAGTCACATATTTCCCCCTGAATTCCACATATTTTAATTTTGAATCAATACATTTTACATAATTTAAAAACAACCATATCCCTTTCATTTACCCCTTCTCCTCCTGCTCTTCGTCATTGACATACCTACGTACCAACCTCCGCCTTCTTGGGCACCTGCTTCTCTTCCTTTTCTTATGCTACCACGTTTTGTTGTATACATTTTCTGTGTCTATCATGTATTCTTTGTTCTTTAGCAGCTAAGTGAGAGGGTTCCACAACATGTTTGAGGTGTACAAGCTAGGGGTGTCCATTCGTGTTCGGTTTTTCGGGTTTACTCGAAACCGACCCGATTATATACTTTTTCGGTTTTTCGGGTTTGGGTAACCGAACCCGACCCGAACTGACACCCCTAGTGCAAGCCCCTGCACCAGACAATCCTCTTATTAATGCTACACAGTTGCCTACTACTACTTAGTCGGAAACGCCCTAGGGAAGGTTAAAAAGTTGTAGCTTAGATGTAGGATGCTCCATACTTTTGTAATTTTGTACATGTTTGCATATGTTAGCACATGTTTCGAATTGTGTACTCTGATCCGACGTGGAGCAGTAGGATTGTCACTCTTTTGTTACGTACCCGGATTTAATACTTGTGTTAGCAGGAATGACCCTATTTCGTACATGATAGTACATGTTTCATAATGTCAAACATCGTTGAAGTAAATGTGTGCTAGTTTTGTTGAAATCATTCAATTTTATTCAACGTCAAATATCCATTACATACGAAGAACTAAAAACACAAGTACAACAACCACAACGAAGAGCACACAAAAACAACATAAAGTCATCCTCTTTTGAAGGGCGCAAATCGTATGTCTCATTTTTTCGTAGTTCCAGACAACTTGCAGTTGAGTTCTAAAAGTTTGGTTAAGTCTTCTAATATCGTAGCCTTCTCTTGTTTCCTTTTTCTCGCTTTCTCTTATGCTCTACGGACACGACCTTCTAGTGTTTCCATATCACCAAGCTTCAATTTCAGCTCATGGTTCTCTCGCATCAACCACCGAGTCACTCTCATGATCATCATCAACCCTTCGAAAAAAGTGGCAGTTCTTTTTATGATCAAACAAAAGAAAAAGCAGCCTCTTTCTGCAACTTCGGTGCGTAGTCAGAACTTCGATGGCGAGGGGACGACAACGACGGAAAACTATCGAGCGCCGCTGCAATTTCCTCGACGGCGGGCCGACGATGGGGGAAGAGCGGGGACGAAGTCGAGAAGAATTAAGACAGAGGGAGGGGATTTTGGGAGATATAAGACGACCCGTCAAGAACTTTTTGATTTTCTTTTCCTTTTATTCAAAATATAAAAGATATATGGCAATAGGTGGAAAAACAATATTTTTTGAATTGGTATATGCTAACTTTGCAGCGATATGACAGGTTGATCGTTAGTCAATTGAGTTGACCTTCCAATATAATGCTCAACTCTCAGGTCAATTTCATAAAATTGATACATAATTGAGTCCACAAAATTATAAATAAAAAGATTGGCATTTAACTAGTTTCATTCAATTTTTTTTCTTCCTTGTTTCCACTTGGCAGCCTATTTTAATTTACGACTCCGAAACCAAAATACCCAAAGTTATAAAGCCAAATTTCTCACTTTACCGCTTCAGTATATTCTATCTCGAGCCAAAATAAAATACGAATGACCAAAGTAAGTGCCGTATAATACTGACTAATTATTTATTCGTCTTTCTAAGCAGCTTGGTTTGCACGTTTGACCTTTTCTGCCACACAAATATAAAACTTTATTATTAGTTTTTTATTTTCGCGTCAGTGGGACCACGCAACAGTTATCTTTCGGCCGCTCACTTTGTCCTCTCTGTGGCTCTCTCTTGCGCCACCTCACCCCTCAGCGCAATTTAGATCCCTTTCCTCACCCACCCGGCTTAAACTGAACCACCATCCTTATCCTTCGCCCCACCTCTAATTTCATCCTTCTTCTGGGACATTTCCGCAAAAGGTTTCTTTTCCCCCTTCTTTCTTTAGCACTGAGATTTACCAAATACCCTCCATTTCTCCTCAACGAATCTCTCTAATCCCGTCGATTAGTCATCAAATCCGGGATTATTTAGGGCTGCCCATTTCGTTTTCTCCAGCTTTCTGAGGTCTGATCACTAGCTGGAGCAGTGATCTTTTCACACCTGATAAACGATCGGCGAGCCTCTTTTTCCCGATTTTGTGTATTTTTTTTTTTTGGCTTACCTGGGGTTCAAAGCATGTAAAGCTCGAGATTACGAACTCAACTGCTGGCGGTGGGTAACGATCTCTTGCCTCGTTTGGTATCTTGCTTCTCCTCCTGGTGGGGAAATCGTTGCAGACTGCGTGGGAAACATGGCTCGGAGTAACGAAGTCAGCATCAATGAAAGCAAGGTACCCTTCTTCTTCTTTGTTTGGTTTCAGTCCCTCATATGGCCCCGGATGCTTGATTGCAACGAAATTTCTGTGCCCTTGAGATGAGGTTATGGTTTTGAATCTTTGATCAGAGTCGTTTAGTTTAGCTGGTGGTGTTTATGGCTTTGGCTTTATATTTTAGATGGTTCTTTGAACCTTCTTGGTGTCCAAAACAAATTGAGTGGAAGTGATTTATTTGATTCTCCATAGGATTAATGCGAGATAATGGTTTTTGTGGAGCTGATTGCTTTTGTCTTGAGTTAAAGTTTAATGTTGATTCGGTGATAGTAAGTGAAATTGGATGTTCCATTCATCTCAGTAGTTTTCGTTTAACCTGGTAGGAGATTTGGTAAGGGGAATGGGTGAAGCCCTGTCCATTTTGGACAAATTTTACCAGTTAGGGATGAACGTTTTGGAAATTGTTTGGCCAACCCTTTTTGCTTTTCTTTGTGCAGATGGTGGTCCCTTTGAACACATGGGTCCTAATATCCAACTTCAAGTTAGCATACAACCTCCTCCGGCGGCCAGATGGAACATTCAATCGCCATTTGGCCGAGTTCCTGGACCGAAAGGTCCCTGCCAATGCAAACCCTATTGACGGGGTGTTCTCATTCGATGTGATTGTTGATCGAGCCACAAATCTCCTCTGCCGAATCTACCGCCCATCCGACACTGACGAGCCGCCAAATGTTGCTGATCTCGAGAAGCCTGTCAAGTCTGAATCTTCCTCTACCGTCCCTGTGATTGTCTTCTTCCATGGTGGAAGCTTTGCACACTCATCTGCCAACAGTGCTATCTACGACACATTGTGTCGAAGACTAGTTGGTCTGTGCAGAGCCGTGGTGGTCTCAGTAAATTATAGGCGTGCCCCTGAGCATCGGTATCCTTGTGCTTATGATGATGGCTGGACAGTTCTCAACTGGGTCAAATCGAGGGCATGGCTCGAGAGTACAGACTCGAAAGTTCACATATTTTTGGCTGGAGATAGCTCCGGTGGGAATATTGCTCACCATGTTGCTTTGAAAGCTGCTGAATCGGAATCGGGTATTGAAGTGTTGGGGAATATATTGCTTAATCCGATGTTTGGTGGGGAATTGAGAACTGAATCGGAGAAGAGATTGGATGGGAAGTACTTTGTTTCCGTGCAGGATAGGGATTGGTATTGGAGGGCATTTCTTCCTGATGGTGCTGATAGGGATCATCCAGCTTGTAATCCATTTGGTCCAAAAGCTGCGAGTCTAGAAGGGGTGAAGTTCCCCAAGAGTCTTGTTGTTGTTGCTGGTTTGGATCTTGTGCAAGATTGGCAAATGGCTTATGTTGAAGGGCTGAAGAAGGCTGGGCAACAAGTGAAGGATTTGTATCTTGAGAAGGCGACAATAGGGTTCTACTTGTTGCCAAATAATGCTCACTTCCATACTGTGATGGATGAGATTAAGAAGTTCGTGAGTTCTAACTGTTGATAAAAGAAAAAGAATCTAACTTTACTTTGCAGCAGTAGCAGCCAAAAAGGCGACAAGGAAGCTTTGACAGTCTTTTCACTCTGGTTTTTTTCTTTTCCTGGCTAGGGTTTTTAGAGTTTGCTTTTCTGTTGATAATGTGATTGTGTAGTATTACCTGCTTACGGGTGCCCATTGATCCTTTTCGCCAATTGGGGTTTTCTGGCTCCCGGTTGTTCTTGATTCATGAAGGATATGAGTGCAGGAAGTGGCTCAGCATCTAGCTGGCTGACTCAGGATTTGTTGTCTGTTATACCGCCGGAATCGGTTTGAGATTTGGGTGACGTAGCTTGAAGTAGCTTTTCTCCAGGGGAGATAACTGTTACTGCAGCAGTGCCATTAAAGAAGGTTTCAAGGTTTACCCTTTTGAGGACAGGGTTCACTTGGTTAGGTTGATATGTTGGCTAATGTTATATAGCTAATCTTTAGAGAGAGACTGGATGTTGTGGTAAAAAGAGAGAAGGATCTCATCAATGGTAGCATTGTCTTGTAAGTTTTACATACAGATGCTGAAGTATATATAAATATATATTATAATATAAGAAGGGTTGTTTTGCTTGTTGACATTTCATTATGTTGCTTCTCTGGCACTTGATGCTTGGCAAATTGTAATGGACACTTTGTGTACATATGTTAACAGCACGTTTAAACTTGTCGACGAATGGCTCGACTGCTGATCAAGAATTGGAAGGTTGAGCAGAGATTGCTTTGGAATGAGATACTGAATCTATTTGGAATTGGGCGAAAGGAAAGGGAGGCATGAAGCAGAGAGGCAGGAAGAAAGTCAAGTGGCAGAGCCACTGCAAAACTTAGAACAGGGCCTTAGGAACGCAAGAAAACGATAACACAACCGAAAATTGCAGCCCTTAGCTGTTCATCCGAGGCACTAGCGGAGAGAAGCTGACCCCCGTGTTGTCCTCTCTAAGCAGTCTCTCTGCTTTCAATTAGCGATCCTTTAACTCATGCATGTCAAAGAGATAGATGAGACTGCTTCGAGAACCAGTCATCAACTCTATTTCCTTCGCGGAAAGCTTGTGAGTGCTATATGCATAATAATAGAACAGTTACTCTGATCTTGGAAAGTGCCAATTTTGATTTGTCTGGGAGTCCAACCCAAATTAGGTGGGTGGGAAAAATGGAAAGCAAAGGGAGGAGAAGTTTGAAAACGTGCACCCTTGCGATCCACTTAAAAAGGTCTTATCTTCAAATACATACATAGCTTTCAATGTACATTGCATTGGAGGAGTGAAGAAGCAAACACTCACAAATGATTGATTGAGAAGCCAAACTTCTTTGTTTGAGAGTCCCCACCATTTTTTTTTTTTTTTTTTATGTGGGGAGACTAGGCTACTGGCTGGTAATAGATTGATTTGATATTTATTCTTGGAGCTTTTCCCTTGCCCTATTCTATTCTAATAATAATTCTTTTGTGTTCTTCAATTTAGTTCAAACCCCCCTGCAGAAAATTACAAAAAGTTTGTCTTGTGACTGTTGTGATGATGGAAACCCAGTCTGCTACTGAGTGGTTGGAATTTTGGAAGTAGTGTTGGATTTGGGAGAGGGGACCCCCTTTTTTATGCACTTGGGCTTCTGTCATCAGAGTGACTAATCATGATTAAGACGTTTCAATACCCTGATTAAGATATTAAATTGCTCTGTTTGAGATTGACTCAATCAAGGGCACAACAATGCAAGTCAGATTTGCCAGCTTTGCTTAACAAGTCACTGGCAGTTGATGGCTGACAGAATAATTGCGAGATAAATAATTAAGTACTGTTGAGAAGGAATCTGGATAGAATCTTCAAATGATTGGATAGAATCTTGGTTGGGCGATTGAATGATACCAACTTATGCATACGCCAATACTATCAGCACCTTAGCCAAATTGGATGAGAAGAACACATCATCATTCCATATGATAGATGATGGCACCATTATGCCAATCTATCTATGTGTCAGTCTTACTAGGAGGAGGCAGATTCAAACAGCCTTTCGTGTCCACGAGCACACTAAGTCCTTGCGCTGCTGCTTCCAATGTGGCGCTGCTTTTGCAGAAAGCGAACCTAATGTATCTCTTCTGATAATCATGACAAGCAGATAGTGATTCCTCTGATTCTGAAGATACCGAATTGAAGTGGAAGAACCCGCGACCCGGGACAGCCACCACACCGGCTTGTTCTATTAGATGCTTAACATATTCCACCTGAACCATAAGCACGAGAAGGCAAGGGATTATCAAGGTCAAGAAAGCAACTTTAGTCTTTGGATCAGTGAGAGCAAGAGAGGCACCCACATCTGAAAGAGGGGACGATTCTGGAAGTTCTGCAAATAGGAAGAATGATCCCTGAGGTTTAAAACGAATCTGAAAACCTATCCCGGTCAGCAACTGGATGCTGTAATCTCTTTTTGATTCATAGTCCTGGAAATTAAAAGAAAAAGGGAGCATATTGTTCAATGAACAAAGAGCAGGTTCTCAAAGAATCTAATATGGACTTTCATTGTTTTCAATCCCAAGACTTACTCTCCTGAGTGATTCAAAGTAATCTGGGCCACTACTCAGAGCAGTTAATGCAGCTTCCTGGAAAGGTGCTGGAGCTGAATCTGTAAGTTTGACATGAATATTTCTTATAGCAGAGGCCAAAATCGGATTAGCGATTGCCCAGCCGATTCTCCATCCTGATCAAAAGTAGCAACAGCAATAAATAAAAAAAAACTCTGAGATTGTGAAGTAATGAGCAAAAGGATAGGATGTGACGTGTGTGCCATCATACGACCGAAGAAGGTTGGCTTTTGCTTAGACCTGTGACGCCAAAAGTCTTTGATACTGAAGATGTGATGATGGTCCGTTGCTGCATTCCTGGCAGCAAGGAGAGAGTTACGTGTTTTACATTATCATATGTGATATGCTCATATACCTGCAAGAAACAAATTGAACTTCAGAAACTTCAGGTAAGGTATAAGTTCTCCTAAGTTCCACCCACAGACTAGTCTTGATAGCATTTGTTTCAGAATTGAGGTTCAATAAGGTAGCATTTTCTTCCAAACGATCTACGATTTAGGTTAGGATTCATATATGTTAAAGGTCAACTAGATTCACCAAGAAGAGAAGATGCACGACATTACTACTTATTAAGGACATCCAAGTCAATATTATCATATTCTTCTCTACAAAGTGTATGAATAGGGAAACGGCAGCAAGGTTAATAGTCATACTTCATCTGTCACAGCAAGGCAATCTCTGCTGCGGCAAGCTTCAGCTATAATCTCAAGCTCATTCCAGGTGAAAACTTTCCCAGTCGGATTCTGAGGACTGTGCCACTCCACAGTCAGTAAGTTCATAAATACTTAGTTCCCATGGCATCATTTCTCAACCTAATAAAGACAACCACTTAGTTGACACAACCTAGGACTCTTTTACTTCTGTCGAGAGAAGTATTTCTTATAATTGATATTTTCGTTAGGAAGATGATCAAGCTGAGAGTTCAGAATAGAGGTTTTCCCACTAAGATCTAGTAAACAGGACAGAAAAATCAATCAACCAAGGTTAAATGGACCACCAACATTCCAAAAGAAGACGACGCAATGAATAAACCTGTTCAAGATCACCGCTTTTGTTCTGCCAGTGAACGAACTCATGAATTTCTCAGCATCCAAAGTCCAATGAGGTGGCTCAAGCGCAACATATACCTGCCAAAACAACAATTCCCAAATTCAATCACTGAAGAACAAAAAATATATTAGCTGGGTACTATTCAAGATTCCAAAATGATGATTCAGGTTAACTCACAGGAATCCCCCCTGCCAACTGAATGCAACCCTCATAGGTTTCGTAACAAGGATCAAACAGCACAACCTCATCTCCAGGGTCTATTACTGTCAAGAACATAGTCCAACCAAAATAATCACACACAAAAAAAGCAACTCCATTCTCGATTCAAGTGCCATATAGACAAACAGAGAAGGAAAAATTGACATACTGGCAAACATTGCTGCTGCAAAAGCCTCAGTTTGGCCGCAGCAAATGGCTATATCGGTATCAGGGTCGACCTCCAATCCATACATTTCTTTCGCATTTCTAGCCAATAGCTCACAAATTCCTTGCACGTGCCTGGGAGATACAACAACAACAACAACAAAAAAAAAAAGCGGGAAAATTTTCAGTTACCCAAATGGATTTGGGGACTGTGGAACAAAGAACATGGAACGGAAGCGGAGACCTGTACTGGTTGAAGTCAGAATTGATGGCGGAAACGGCGGCGGACTTGATGGCGGGAGCGGCGGGGAAGTCCGGGAAGCCTTCGGCGAGGTTGATTGCGTTGCATCGCTGAGCTAAGTGGGAAAGCTCTTGAATTGGGGATGGAGTGAAGGTATTCGCAACTCTGGATAGCTTCTTCTCCATACTGCTTATGCTGTTACTGCTTCAGTCTCGCTGTTTCCTAGTCTCAGGGTCAGGGGACGTAGCGGCGAAGGAACTAAAGTAACTGACGCGACCTGGGCTTGAGCGTGGGCTTGGGCCTGGGATTCTTAGTTTCTTAACGAGATTGAGCTGACCTGGAGCGATTGAGGAAATGAACCAGAAATTCAGCTAGGATAGGTTAAACGTGGGAAAATATATATGACGTAAGTTTCGAAATGTGTTCATGTTCTGAAAATTTTTATAAAATACGTTGACCATGCAAATTACGATGGATGTTAAGATACTATAGCGAAAAATCGTTCATAATTACACAACTCACCTTATTCTGAACTGTTTCTTCACTATGTCTATTCAGTAAGTGCTCTTTCAACAATTGCAATGGTAACTGATAGCAACAAACACCCTCAAGTTCCGGATTTTTGTTTGTATTAAACTCACTTACAAAATATATGAATTAAAAGTTAAATAGAGATCACAAAACATCACTTTTTCGTAAAATTATCTATAAAAATATGAAGATCTTGTATTCAATCCACTATCATATAAAAACAATTTACTTTACATAGCCTAGGTAGTGCAAATAGGGATGGCAATGGGTCGGGTTGGGTCGGGTTTTGCCAAACCCAAACCCAAACCCATGGGTTTATCTTTGAAAAAAACCCGGGGTAAAATCCATTGGGTTTGAAAAACTCAAACCCAACCCAACCCGTTGGGTATCCGCGGGTTCATGGGTACCCACGGGTTTTGTCGTAAAAAATTTGCAATTACAAGTTCTTATCAAAATTAAAGTCAAATATCAATCTCTCAATACAAATTATCCATGTATAAAACACCATTCTAGAAAATTCAAGCAAATCACAAATTAACTATACAAATTGTTCAACGCCAATCTAGAAAACTCAAGAAAATTGAAGCAAATCACAAATTATCCATAAATAATATGTTTAATTGAAAGCTTCTTTCTTTCAATTAAGTTTCTTTACTCTCCACTCCATAACATCAACTTCATTCTATACAATTAAAAAGAAAAAATTAGACATGTCTCCACAAACATAAATAAGAATAGTTGTTTAGAGTATTAAATATACCGAAATAATTAATTATATGAGTGGGCGGGTACCCACGGGCCGGGTTTACCTAAACCCAAACCCAACCCGGTGAATAGTGAACGGGTTTAAACCCAAACCCGGCCCAAAACCCGTCAACACGGATTTTACCCGCGTTGACCGGGTTGGGTCGGATGGGTACCCGTGGGTTCGGGTTTTGTTGCCATCCCTAAGTGCAAATGACCCACCTTGGTCTCAAGTGGCGTCAAAAGTTTTTGTCAGAAATTTTACATTATCGTATAAAAAAATTTACGTCGATGCAAGTGCCGATATGAATTGAAAACAGATTATCTATCATCAATTGAAAGTAATATGATTTTGCTAATACACATCTGTATCTCCTCGAGCATAGTGAAATTGATCTCCCTTGTCCTTGGACGTAGCTAACACCTATCGTATGAATGAACCACGTAAATTTGTATGTTCTTTACTTTCTTGCATTGTTGGACGTAGAGCAATCCAATTCAATCTTTGCTACTACAGTATTTCATCAAATGCATGCACTTCGAGTATGAGGAAGGCTGGCGGCGATGCGGCGGAAACATGCAATGGAAGGAACAACCAAACGACGAACGATGCAAAGAGAGGATGAGGAAGGTGGGACGGCGGTAGACCATAAGCCTACCCGGATTTAATCTTCGATTCTTTCGCCGCCGTTGATTCAATCTTCCATCTGGGGATTTGGGGGGTTAGGGTTCGATGCATGTATGGAGAGATTTGGGGATTTGGGGGTTAGGATTCGTTGCATGTCTGGAGGGATTTGGATGTATTTGTATGCGCAGAGGGACGGTTTTGGATGAGAGTTGTGATTTTGGTGGTGATGCATGTCTGGTTGGGGAGTCGAAGTCGGGATTGGGGAGACTGGGACTGCGAGGTCGAGATTGGAAGGAGGAGACGGAGCGGTGAAGTCTGGTTGAGGGCTGAGAAGCATCTAGATGGGGGCTGGGGGATGTGCCTGTGGCGACGAGGTTCTCGGCGGTTATTTACGGTGGATCGATTTATTTTCGGTTAACCACTGGAGGTGTCCGGTTATCAAATTCGCCTGAAATCCCCAACCGACACCGACATAGCCAATATTTTTCGGTTGTCGGTTTCGGTGAATAACCGTCGATGTTGGTTCGGCGGTCGGTTTAACCGGATAACCGCCAACTAATAATCAACTCTACCTCTAGCCCCTCTTACATAGTACCTGACCAACGAAATTTATATAGGGGTTTCCTATTAAAATTAATAATGACAAATTGAATAAAATTTATTGTACAAAATATCATTCTAGTACAAGCAAAAAAAAACTTACTGTCTATATTGGTCAACAAATATATTTCAATATATCCTACTAGACAATCATTCACGAACCAATCACTTATTCTATTCCGAAGTTTGTCGTGATGTAACCCAAAGCCGAAATATATCTCTCAACATTTGTAGTTGCAACCGATAAAATCAATAAGACTTTGAGAAGCAAATAGATCCATAGACATGATAGATTCCCTTTTGTACCCACCATCAATTGAGATAATTCATCAAATTCCTTCTAATCCACGAAATAACTCATCATTCCAGCCAATGATAATAATGCTCAAAGTCCAGTGGAGTCAGAAAAGTGACCGAACTCCTTAGACATGATAGCCGTTTATAACTAAAGTTACGTAGAATTACAACAATAACAAAGGAATTGTAGTTTCATGGAAAACATGTCCACTGATAACTAAGGGCCTGTTTACTTTCATTTCTGTTTCCTGTTTTTTAGAAAACAGATGTTGAAAATAGGTGAAAACAACATTTTGTCGTTTTCGAAAACAGCAGGAAGTTGCCACTTTCTGTTTTCATAGTTGGAAACGAATAGAAAACAGAATGAAAAGTAAACAAGTTTTCTCATTTCAGTTGCCAAATTTAACACATGAAAACAGAAAACAGAAAACGAAAATGAAAGTGAACAGGGCCTAAGCGTCCCGTGTTATCATTTTTTTCATACTCGAACTACTACAGATAATTCGTTAATTTCCCCCCAAATTTTAGGGGTGTCCAGTTTGGGTCCGCCTCTGCTCTTACTATCTAATTTAAAGAGTTGGAGAAGAAACGCTATCGGTGAAATATCGTTGGGCTCTCATTTTTAAAGTCTCCTTAGGAGTTAGGACACATGTATCCAATTTAGATATTGATGCACCGTCTTCTCGTCTCTGATGCTCGAGCAGCTTGCAGAGTTCATCATGGGCATTAACTTTCGAGATGCTCTTCCACAAAGGAGAGTGATTGCTTTTTTTCCATTGAGATGATGTTACAATCGTTGTGCTTAAAATACCTTCCTTGTGGAACCTGCACCTAAAAGGACTTATCATTGTTAAACATCTGCCAAGCAAGTTTGACCAAAAAGACCAAATTGAGGCATCTAGCCGATCGAAGACCATACCCGCCATGTTCTTTGGGTTTGCAAATTTTTTCCCTAGAGACAAGGTAAACTTTTTTCTTTCCATTCTTGACTCCCCTCTTATCAATCTCATCACAGACTGCCTGGGGAGTACAGATGTTTGCACAAACCAAACCAAACCAAACCAAATGTTTGCTATGTTGCCACATCATCCGCCACGTGTAGGTTCGTTTTTGCCTTCTTCCTTCTCAGTTCTCAGACGGCGGCACAAGCTCCATGGCCCTTTCTCGTTTTTACAAGTTCAATGGAACGACTTCGTGTTCTGGTGGCAACTGCCCATTCTGTTCTTTGCTGCCCATATTATCCACCCAATTAACGGATTCCATTGTTATCTTCTTCCCCATAATAAGCTACCATCATTCAATTCAGAACAATCGGTGAAAGTCATTCAATCGATTCAGCCATGGAAAAACAACACAACCCAGAAGTAGAAGACAAAAAACACAGAGAGGATTGAGCATCAAAATCAAGAGACTCACTTTATTCCAAGGAACTAGCTGAAATCTCATTACTGTGTTAAGGGAACACAACAACGCCAGAGGTTAACAAGTAAGCAACTTGGCTTTAGCAAAACCAGCACCAATTAGAGAGACGTTTAGAGTGGTAGATAAGATGATACCTTCTCTTTAGTTCCCTGTGAAAAACAGAAACTAAGAGAGCTATGGCTTCTGCTGCCCTCTTCTAACGAACTTTAACAGCAAAGGCAAGTGAAGCCGCAGCCACCACTGTAGTCACAGATGAAACCATAGCCCAGAAGCTCTTCTTCTTCTCTGCTTCTGCAACAGAGTTCTCCAGAGCTCCAACTCGCTGCTTCATCTCCTCCACCTTTGCATCCTTGTCTCTGAAACAGCTCTTGATCGCTTCCATTTGTTCTTCAACCTTGTTCTCCTCAGCCTTTGCACCTCCGGATCCATTGCTGTTGCTGCCCAGGGAGACCAATTCCACAGTGTTGCTCAGGAGGCTCAAAGCTCGCTCCAGCTTCATCTCACTTGATTTTAGTTTACCTTCCAATTCCCCATTCTCCACTTGTGTCTCTGCAAGCTTCTTCTCAATCACACCATTCAGCTTCTTCAATGATTCAAACTCGGCTTCCACTGCCTTCTTCTCCTCCATTAAAGACTCTTTCTCAGAGTTTGACTTCTCAAGCTTGACTGCAGCTGCTTCCATCCTAGCCTCCACCTCTGCAAGTTTAGACCTCAAGTTAGCTCCATAACCCTGCTCGTCCTCCAGAGTCATCTGCAGATCATGTTTCTCCACCTTCACTCGCTCCAGCCTCTCTCTGTACTGAGCACACTCAGAAGATAACTCGGTGTTTCGAGCTTCTTTAGTCTTGATGGAGTCATTCGCTGCAATCAGAGAATCGGCCAGCTCGCTGACCTTGTTCAGCAGCTCTGCAATTTCAGACTCTTTCCTCTTGGATATTCCCTCGACCTCTTCCTTCTCTCGAGAGAGCTTCTCAATCAATTCCTTCTTGCCCTCCAATTCTCCATTAACGGAATCTATCATCTTCACAAGAGAATCCTTTTCCTCTGTCAATGCTTCGACCATCTTGATCTTCTCCCTCTGTGCTTCAATCA